GAGCTTCAGAAAAAAGAAAAACAAAAACCCCAAAATGGACAAAAGCAGCCAGAATGGATGAACACCCAAGATAGAAGTATAAATCAATCTCTTTTGACTGTCAATCCTAATCTACCCTGATCTCTTGACAAGCTGTCAACAGGCCATCAAAACGTGGCTGTAGCAAAACAGATGGACAAAACTTTGGACATAGGAAGAGTTGCAAAGCAGAGCTAGACTGGAAATCAGGTTAAGGTACTGGCTGCAGTTTCAGAAGATCTGGACGATGGGGACATGGCACACAGAGCAGGCACAAGATATTACTGACTCACTGGTCAAGCATTGCATAGAGGCACGACCAAACTAGGCTTAATGGAAGAGAAAGCCCTGCAAAGGAACAGTCATTCCTAAAAAAGATGCTCTGGGATTTGAAGATGTCATGGATTATCTTGGCTGTCTACTTCCAATTCCACTGAAATCAACAGCTCAGATGAATAAGCACATTTTAATATGCCAAACAAAAGACCTTCTCAAACATGGCCAATCATTTAAAGACAAGCTTCAACTCCTGATGTGCGCTCAGCAGCATGGCATGCCAACGTTAATGGTGAAGCTTCACAGCACCCCTGCACTGCTGCACCTCAAATGGAGCAAAAGGCAGTACTTGGCAGTAAATGGATAATACTCTGTGGCTTTCCTCCTCCAACTCCCAGCAGAAAGGACAGGTAAAAGATAGAAAACACCTTAAAGCAAATACATGTGTTTAATTTTCTTATATATTTTTTTTCCAATCAGTGCAAAACATACAGAAACATTCAAAGTCTAAGAGTTCAGACCAGGTCCTTGTTATTCTCCCCTGCCTGTATGAGAAGGTTAAACACAGTCACCAAACTCTGCATACCACCCTCAGTCACGAAGAACCCTCTGGCACAGCTCCCAGACCAGTAAAAATTCGACCATTTCAGTCCCCAAAGCATGGATCCTGATCCGTTTAAGCAAAACAAGTTCTACTGACAGCTGGTTTTCTTAGCATATTCACATCCATGTATTTATCAGAGAAAAGCCCTCCAGGACAACAGTGTTTATTGCAGGATTATTTCTGTGAATCCAGGGAACATAGCATTCACTGAGCAACAGTGGTTCTACCCTTGTATCTTTTTTTCTTAAAAAGTGAACCAAGATGAACCTATTTTTATTTTCATGGACGACTCATGAATGGAAAAAAATACATACATTACTTTTTTTTTTTTTTTTAAAAAAAAGATCACTTCTGATTCATGTGTTGTACACTGACACACATTTAAAGCATTAATATCAAAACTAGCTGCTCAATCTCACATTGACTCCTTGGATTTAGTCTAGTCACTTTTAATAAATGAAAACCAAATATATGATGGATATTCTTATTCCAAATTTCCCTTCCATACGAATATCTAGTATACTAGATTAGAAAGATAACTTTGAGCAAGCAAGATGCTTTCTACCACCAGGTTTAAACATATTATGAATAAAGTGTGGAAATGCAACAGACATAAAAGTTAAATATCCCAGCAGCTCCTCCTCGTGCAGAAGCAGCCTCAGAATATGTCTGTGCCTACCTAGCAGCAAGAGGAGGTCAGATGGATGAGCAAGTGAGGGGTCTCAGGTACTGACACTGCTCAGCTCTCTGACCCTCTCCCCAAAGCACAGCAGCCATCAGTGGGGGATGAAGAGCATTCTGCAGCCAGTCCCACACCCCGAGGCAGGAGGAGGAGCGGTACGAGCTGGGGACACGCAGCCATAGATGCTGACAAGCACCATCCTCTCAAGTTGGGTGGTCACTTTGTGGGGTTTCCCAGCTTACCACTTCCTCCAGAAGTGTGCAGAAACTTTTTATAATAGTGCAATGTAAAGTTACGATGGCAGTTTTTAAACAAAATACACATAAAAAATACCCCATGTTTCATTTTAACTTAATCTAACCTTTGAAATCATTAAAAGCAACTGTTGTTGGCATCTATCTGCTTATTGATGCAGTGCAATAAAGAATAATATATAATAAAGAATTCTTAAAATTATAAAATGAAAGCTTTTTTAAGTAATTGATTTCAAATTAGGGAAACATTAACTAGAAACCAGAATTAATGTGTTTTGAACAATTAGTATTTAAAGGATTTTTTTTTCAAATTAGCAAGTTTTAATTAAATAATTAAACCAGGTACAGTTACGAATAACTATTGCTGAGATTTTGATAAACTAACACAAATGCTTCCTATCCCTAAATGTGGGGTTGTACTTTTACTGTAAGAACTGGACTTGACACTCTTGCAGCCAGACACCATACCACGGAAGTCAATGGCACACCAATCTTTACTGGAGTGAGCCATAACGCTTCTCTACTGCATTTTCACTCCCTGCTTTAATATGTGATCTTTTTCAAACCAAACAATGTACTAGTGTCTTAGCTCCAAACCATAAAAAGTGGTCAATTCCCTCATTTTGCAAATCTGTATTTCAAAGTCTATGACAAAAAACAGTCAAAGTGTTACTAGTACTACTTTTACCATCCATCTGAAAATAGAGCAATATGCTTTACAATAACCCTTTGAAGTAAAAACCACCATATTCATATTGCTAGGGCTTAAATTTGCTGACAAGATCTGTGGGTATGGACCATTTTTAGAAAATGCAGTGTGGGAACACATGTTTATATGATAGAGCACAAAAGCAATGAAACCTCTTGGGAAGGCAGGAGATAACTCACGTTACACAAACAGGCCCTTTGCTCTTATTTCTCTAGAAAGCTGAAACATTTCTATCTGAAAATGGTTTTTCATTCATCAGGAAAATGCTATTCCTATTTGCTCATTCTTCCTAAGGTGAAGGGAGTTTAGTATTAGCAAAATAATTGTGGGAATTTGGTATTTTTCGTGTTTTGTTGAGTACTTGGGAACTGTCAGCTACTACTTACTCCACCTCAAAATCTGCTGCATTAAAAAAATACACTGGTAATTTGCTTACATGGCTTTTGTAGATGCAATTACTGTTAGCAGCAGGAAAGAACTTTTATAAGCAGAACACAATTCAAATGTAACATGCCATGGCCTCAAGTCATTAAACTAATCCTCAGGGCTTCTTGAGGCCTTTTGTACTTTTGGCAAAAAGTATAAAGAAGTATGCATTGTTGCCTCAGTTCCCAAACATTGGAAAGTTAAATATCTAGACTGTCAGCCCCTGCTAAACACAGCAGAGATTGGTTTTGGGAAAGAACAAGAGACAATTATGTCTTTGTTATTAAAGCACAATCGCACAAACATTGAAAACATACTCATACATTTTTTCTTGGCACATAAAAAGTAGCCAGTAGAATAAAGGTGCAAAAGCTCACAAACAACTCTGGCATTATGGGTCACCAGTATCTAGATCCTGTGATGAGTATCTTACAAATGCACAAGGACAGATTGAGTTATATGAGTGAAGTATCTCAACTTTGATACATAGATAAGGTGACGAGGTGTGCCATGGAACTCCAGGGTTTATTGGCATGATTTTAACATGACTACATAAGCTATAAATGACAAAGCCATAAATACGTCAGATGTGTCAGATACCACCCAAACATCTTCGTACTATATTGCTCTACATCACACATCTAAAACCAGATATTCTTTAGGGTACTGACAGAAAATGCAATACTTTAAGGAAGACAGTGTGTTCCTTTGTATTGCTATTCTGCTTGGTATCAAAAGGTCAACATCTTTCTAAAGATATTATTAAAAGTGGGAAAATAAGCAACGCATTCTTTAGCACATGGCTTATTTAGACAGACATACCTGGGTGGCCTGAGATACGCTTAAGAATCAACATGCGACTAGAACTGAAAATACAAGGGAAAGTAGTGACAGCCCATTTACTTTTAACTGTTGCTGAGCAGAAGAATAATTTTGAACATGGAAAGATAATCACATGTTTGACTACAATTATTCCCTCAACTAATGTTGACAAGAAATAGTGACTTGATAAAAAATACAAAAATGTAAAAGCTGCTAAATATATTGTGTGAGTGTTTGCATGTGCATGCATAACCTACATTTTCTTAAATAAAATATCTGGGAAGCCTTATGCCTTTATCTAAATCAAATCTTGGGTTTTGTTTTTTAAATTGAATCTAACAATTTATCCAGACCAATGCCCTGTTGAGCAAAATGTCTAGATACTATGTTCCTTCACTCACACAAACTTTATCACTGAGTTATTACAAAACTGTGGTAGTCAGTATTTCCCACCTTTTCTTCTCTACCCAGAAGTATCATCAGTTCAGAGGGAAGTCAGTGCAGTATTAACCAGAAAAACAAAGCATCACTGAAACAACGCTAGACCAGTTTGATTGCTGTATACTAACATAGTTACTTTTTTGAAGCAGACATTACAAGACTGAGATACTGAAGGGAAGAAGCAGCATTAAGATATTCTAATTCCAGAAATGGAATAAGAGAAATTTAAAGAAAGTAGACTGATTTCTAATCCTCCCTCTTCCATTTTAGGAGTAGAAATTCATTTCTCAGCAAATCTATTTGCCAACTGGTAAACAGATCAGTAAGGTTCAACAACTGTAAAATGAAATATTCAGATACTCTCCTGAAAAAAACTTACTAAAGCTGCAAATTCCTAAAACAGTTAATAAAACCCTTTAGCTTCTACAACAATACTTTATTCAAATGTGTTCTGTTTATACAGAGAGCTCACCTTCCCAAAAGAAAAAGTAATTAAACATTCTCCCACAAAAAAAAGATATCAGTGTGCTGTACTGTAGGAGGCACTCAAAATATACTGCTACAGGAACACACAGCATAGTTTTCATGGATTTCACATATAGCCAGTGACGATTTTTCTTCACCCATATGTGATCCAGCCACAGACAGAGAACTAGCCAAAAGAAGATCTGTCATTTCTCCACCACATGCACACTTATCAGGAAAACATTGAAAAGTTCAGAGAGGAAGTAGAATGAACAGTCCAGAAAAAAAAACTGTCTCACTCACTGTTCAATACGCGGTGAGAGATACAGCTTAGGAAAAACCTGAGTAGCTTCTGCATCCTCAAAACTAACGGAGAGAAGTGCAACATCTTCTCCAGGGTCTTCATTCACATCCTGTCCATAAAAAACAATAAATATAAAATGGCAAATAGCAAACTGAGTACTTATAAGCTTACAGATAACACCTAATAAGTCAAACACCAATTTATTTAGGAGACACTTAAGTGAGAAATCTGAAGTGTAGCCATCAAAAAATAGGTTGATAAATTAAAAACAAAAATTTCTTTCTTACTATATTAGTATTTAAAAGATATTCTGCCCTGCTTTATGTTCTTTATAGTATGAAAATTACTGGGTTAGCAGGTGTATAGCAGAGTAGCTCTCAATTAGTTGAGCTACATATTTCAGTAAATATGCAGATTTCATTTTTAGGAATTCTTGGTTTAACACTAACATCAGAGGGAAATGCCAAAGAATTTTTTTAAATGCTGTAATATCACGGAGTTCCGACTACAGATTTTATATTCGTTATTTTTCAATGTAGTATACAGTACAAAACTGCTGTACTCAACTCCTACCTCTCTTGTGGATTCAAAATGTTTTTGCAATCAGAAATTTGTATCTAGAAGTCACTGTCCCCAAGTTTCCTGAAAATTAACCCACGCATCACTTTCAGCAAAGACTGCATACTATATGAAAACTACCGTAAGGAAAAAAAAAAAAATCCATGCTAAATACCATGACAGTCAATCTTAATGCATTTACAGTTCAAGCTTTCTTTGTATCACAACAATCAGCTACAGTTTTGGGATCAGATAGAACAAATTGTTTCTCATTAAGACCTGTCATCTCTCCAATTCATAAATCACATACAGTACGAACAAATATATTTCTGCTACACACAACTTCATTTAAGCTTTTGACCTCTAGTTAGAAAGCAATGAGTCAGCATTGCAGTCACCTTCACTGACAGCAACTAATACGGTGCCACTTGCTGCTCACAAAGAAGTCCTTTAACGTGTTTGTGCATATGTACATAGCAACTTGCCAAGATGCATTTGTTTTCATCCGTTTTGGAAAAATATGAGAGGAAATAGATAACCCAGCAGATATGTGCTCAAAGCAGGATCAAGGTGGTGCAGTGTGCCCTGGTATGCCCCGTCCCACAAGCAGCTCTGAGTAAGGAACATGCAAAACACTTCAAACACTGTTAGGAGATCCTGCCCCATGCGGGGAGGAAAAAAAAAATAATTAAAAAAGTAACTGCTGAGTGGTTTCAGGAAGACAATCTCGTGCCATTAGAAGCCTTGGCAGGACTGAAACTGTTAAGGTCCAGAGAGACTAGCTGCATACCAGCTATTATGTGCAGAATACAACATGCCAAGAAACTCAGTGATAAGCTGCAGGGAAGAATGAGTCTTAAAAAAGCCTAATTGTCTTAGATGAAAAATGAGACAGAGCTGACAGTATTTTCTTAAATTCTGCCTTGGTGTACAGCTCACTTCTGACAGCTGAAACAAAAGTATACTCTTAGAAATGCCTATAAAATGGTCACGAGCACAGTGCTGGAAGTAAGAACACAGTTTTAATCTGAAGGTGAGGACAAAAACTAGCTGCTGCCCTGTTGGAGATGATCAGTTTATGGATGGGATTATATGATATGGTCACCGTTACAGTAACGGACAGGATCTCATGACCCACAACGTTCCCTTCAGTGGTACTATCATCTACAGTAGAAGAACCAGTACAGATGACAAAACTCTTTTCAACAAGACAAACAACAACAAAAAATACCCAAGAGCACAATCCCCCCACAATCTCTTCCCCAGTATTTCATATATTTCCATCATTAAAGAAAAAAATTAAATAAGGAACAGCTTTCACTCCTGAAGCTGAGTATGCCATTAACTGGCTTTTTTCCATTAATTTACTAATTGTCAGTCAAATGAAAAGAACTATTAAAACATTAGATTAAGCAGTAATGCTAATGATTAAAAAGATTTTATTCTAATGGGCATTCTTCAAGAGATGACAAGTGCATATAATACATTCACTCATATAAGCATACAGTTCTTCCGAGACCATGTTCTTTTGTTTGCAATTATTTTTTAGAAATTTGTTTTTACAGAATAGAACCTACACGCACTTTACAAGCTACATGGACAAAAGCAAATGTATTTAATCTTGCATTTAGTATTAGTGCTTAAGTTGACATGCATACACAGATTGACACCATGCATAAAATCAGTTTGAGAATACCATCCAGGTGCTTACTGATAAAAGAAAATTAAAACAAGGAAAAAAAAACCTAACAACCCAAAACAGATGAAGTGAACACCACTACAGCATCCATTAACTCATACAGTAATATGACATTATATTTTCTACACTCACTAGTGGCTTCTTTAATATGAAGACTCATGCCAGGGGAAAAAACCAACCAAACAACAGCATAAATCATTACAGTATCTTTGCGAGTTAAGCTGCAATAAGCTGATGTGTGCAGTAAGAGCAATAAACCATGACATGTGCTATTTTCCAATTTACAAAAGTAACACACAACAAACACTACTGCAACTAGTGTTGCCAGCACAGCACTGCATTATGTTCATATACCTACTGTCTGATACAAGTCTGAGTACAGAAATTGTCATTCTTCTGTAACTACCACTTTCCAAACAGATGCAGATTTTTGGCCTACATATCTGAGAAATAAAAATTGTAACTTAAAAAAATATGTAAAAAAAATCAGTATTCCTGTAGGTTTTAAAAAGATGTAATGCTGTAACACCATGAAGTTGTTCAACCTTATTGCTCAGGTGGCCACAGATTTACGATGAAGTCCCTTCGTGTCCGATACTGTATTGTTTATTCCTTTCAGACTTTGTTACTTTTATTTATGCAAGAATCTGCTTGGTAGAACTACATTCAACTCATACTAGTATGTCTGTTACAACAGACATTTATAAAACTAAACCAAAACCACATGTCTTGCAGATAAACTGTGGAAAGCTTTTCAACTAATAGACCTTTTTGATGTTGCCTGTGCCAGTCTCAATTTAACTCTTTCAGTCATCTCTCTCCTGATCATCTCTACAAACCTGTTCGTGACTAAGGTGAGATGATGGATCCTTATATTACCAGGTAATGACATTTCCCCAAAACAGGGGCTGAGATCCTTCCATTACACCAAAGCATCCAAAGGCAAAGGTTGTTTTAACGCTTCCTATCAAACTGTGCCCAGGCAGTGTCTTCCCCTTTCCCATTTTTGCATGCATATTTCTCTCAAAGAATAGCCCAGCAGAGCAGGAAAGCAAAAATCACCTCTATTTTTCAGTTGGCTTCAAAAGAGCAAGTGACATCCAATTGCTTTGGCACTATTATTCCCTTTTAGGAAAAAAGGATACTTTTGAACTAAAGTCAAACCACATTTTTTAATATTTAAGTAGCCATTTCCATTCTCATAATTTGTATTTAACTCACAAGACAATGTTAGAGGATTTTATTAAAAAACTAGTTTTAAGAAAAATTGATTTTTTTAAATTAAGCATGGCAATTTTCTATAAACATTAGCATCCAAAGTTAGAACTGCTACATTAAAGTACCATTTTATACTCACAGAATTTTTTACACACAAGACTCTACATAAGGTATTATTAAAATTAACTTCCAATGAACGGAGAGCACATCCCGGGCCACAGGAATTTTGAGGTTTTAAAACTGAATGTTTGTAAAAATATTTGAAACCATCAGTTAAGCGTGTGATAATGTACACCTATTAGTTTTTCCATAAGTCTCATACTTGATAGTAAAAAAAAAAAACAAACCCTCTAGAGCACAGCAATGTAAAAGAACCAACATAGATTTTCATGATGTCTTTCTGCCATCTTACCATCACGTATTTCTTCTTTAAAAAATACTCTTTTCCTCATTTCAGAAAATGCCCATTCAAATCAAACAAGAAAAAAAAAATGGATATACCATTTAACACTGAAAATAAATAGTCTTCTTTCTCAAGAACTGCAAAGGGTTTCCTTTATTTACAAAATACTTTTCACAGTGTGGACTGATCCTTGACTAAACCTCCAAAGTGCTCTGGAAATGCAAAATGTACATAGTAAAGTAATGTGGTGAGAAAGGAACAAAATTTAAAAAAAATTAAAGATTTTTTTCACCCATAGGCTTTTTTCTATTGCAGAGACCTTCTAGCAACAACTTACAAGAATAAATAAAACTTTTCACAAAGAAAAGCATAAAGAAAAAGCTTATGGTATTTTATTCTAATTTATCTTTTGTCTACTTAGCCAGTGCAGATAAAAACTTCTTCATTAAGTATGTATTTTTGAAACTCAAGAACAAGAGGCCATGTGAAAATCCACACGCAGTTCAGAACAGATGAAAACAGAAGTTTGAAGGCATTTAGATTTTTTTTTCCCCAAAAAATCTTCAGGAAAATACTTCAGATATCACAAAACTCCAAAGTAAAACTTAAAATCCTATTTCTAATTGTATCAGCACTGTCTAAACAACCACTTTTTAGTTTTCATTCATATCAGTCTAAATTTACATTCAAATGTATGCTTCAATGTTTACAGCTGCTCCCTTTGCAAAACACTTGATCTTTTTTACAAAGTTAGTACGAGTTGTTTATGAAAATTACCATCAAAACCACTTCAAATACACCATTCAAATGGCATTGTTTTCTCGTATCCTACCTACTGTAATTGAAAACTGGGAATTTACTGGAACTGACAATTTATTATTAGTCAGATGGTTGATAGCCAGTCCAACCAAAACATCTGCTCCGCACAGTCACAACTGCTATAACCCATTTCCTCTAGTGCCTGGAGTCCAACCAAGTTGTACATTACAGTTCCTTTTCTTTAAAGATGCAGACTCTGGAAAAACAGTTATTACCTGTTCATAGTTATCAACAAAGAATTGCCTTGCAACCTCTGATTAGAGTATTCTTTCGGGAGGAGGTATTTCTCTATTTGGCATGCAAGTGTGATTCCCTGCACCAAACAGTAACGTGTAAAGGGGTAAGCGACTGCAGGCTTATCCCAGCCAGTGGCAGGACCTGCGTTTTTACGGAAGACTTGAGAGACAGGGAG